ACTCTTCAACAATCCGACGTACGCGAGCAGTGGAACCACATTTACCGATCATTAAGTACCGCCGCCGAAGAATTAGTTGGATTTCAGCGAGCCCGAAAGAACAACTGGTACGATGAGGAATGTCAAGAAGCCGCAGAGAAAAAAGATGCCGCCTACAGGGCCACGCTGCGATCAGGCGCAACGCGAGCCATGTGGGACCGTTATAGGGAACTGAAGAAGGAAGCGAGACGTATTTGCCGCAATAAGAAGAGAGAGGCCGAAATACGTGAGTGCGAAGAGCTTGAGATGCTGGCCGGCAGGAAGAACGCCCGAAAATTCTACCAGAGGGTTAGGCGACTTACGGAAGGTTTCAAGACCGGGGCGAACTCCTGTAAGAACAACAATGGCGACCTAGTGACCGATGTCCAGAATACACTTAAATTGTGGAGGGAACACTTTTATAACCTACTGAATGGTAGCAGCGCTGAAAGTAGTGAGGAAGACGAACCCGAGTCCCCAGTCGATGATGATGGAGTAGCTGTCCCACCGCCTGACTATGACGAGGTACGTATAGCGATTACGCGGCTGAAAAACAACAAAGCTGCTGGAGCTGACGGCCTGCCAGCCGAGCTATTCAAGTACGGCGGCGAGGAGCTGATTAGGTGCATGCATCAGCTCGTATGCAGAATATGGTCAGATGAACGCATGCCCGACGACTGGAATTTAAGTGTGCTCTGCCCAATCCACAAGAAAGGCGACCCCGCCATACGCGCCAACTACCGCGGAATTAGCCTTCTAAGCATAGGTTACAAGGTCTTATCGAGCGTATTGTGCGAAAGACTGAAGCCCACCGTCAACGAGCTGATTGGACCTTATCAGTGTGGCTTTAGGCCTGGAAAATCCACCATAGATCAGGTATTCACAATACGCCAAATCTTGGAAAAGACCCGCGAGAATAGGATCGACACACACCATCTATTTGTCGATTTCAAAGCCGCTTTCGACAGCACGAAGAGAAGTTGCCTTTATGCCGCGATGTCTGAATTTGGTATCCCCGCGAAACTAATACGGCTGTGTAAAATGATGTTGAGCAATACCACCAGCTCCGTCAGAATAGGGAAGGACCTCTCCGAGCCGTTTGATACCAAACGAGGTTTCAGACAAGGGGACTCCCTTTCGTGTGATTTCTTTAATCTTATGTTGGAGAAGATAATAAGAGCCGCAGAACTGAACCGCTCAGTCACAATACTTTATAAGAGCGTACAATTGCTGGCGTATGCCGACGACATCGATATTATCGGTAAAAACAAGGGCTACGTCTGTTCTGCCTTCTCGGGATTGGATAGAGAAGCAAAGCGAATGGGTCTGGTTGTGAACGAGGACAAAAGGAAGTATCTCCTGTCATCACACAAACAGTCAGAGCATACGCGTCTTGGCACCCACGTCACTGTTGACAGTTACAAGTTTGAAAAAGTAGACGACTTCGTTTATTTGGGAACCAGCATTAACACCAATAATAATGTCAGCCTTGAAATCCAACGGAGAATTACTCTTGCCAACAAGTGCTACTTTGGGCTGAGTAGGCAATTGAGAAGTAAAGTCCTCTCTCGTCGTACAAAGATCACACTCTATAAGTCACTCATCATGCCTGTGCTGGTGTATGGCGCGGAAGCATGGACAATGAAAGCATCTGATGAGGCGGCTCTTGGAGTTTTCGAGAGAAAGATTCTGCAAAAGATTTACGGACCTTTACGCGTTGGTGATGGCGAATATCGCAGACGATTTAACGATGAGCTGTATGAGCTTTACAACGATATAGACATAGTGCAGCGAATTAAAATTCAGCGGCTCCGCTGGCTTGGCCATGTCGTTCGGATGGACAGAAACGCTCCTGCTCTGAAAATATTCAACGCGGGCCGCGATGCTGGTAACAGAGGAAGAGGAAGGCCTCCTCTGCGTTGGAAAGACCAGGTGGAGAAGGACTTGGCTTCACTCGGCATTTTCAATTGGCGTCAGTTAGCACAGAAGATAAATGACTGGCGTGCTGTTTTGGACTCGGGCAAAATCGCTTAGGCGGTTACAGCGCCAATTAAGAAGAAGAAGAAGATGAATGTGCATTACATGATTTTTTGGTTATTGACAATAATAAAAAGCAAAGGTATGAAACCAAATAGCATTTTTTAAGTTTTTTCTAACTTGACACTTTGATAGAAAAAAGTGATACATTTGATAAATTTTTTGTTTTTTTTTGTACGATACATTTTTTCATGGTGCCGCGGCAACACTACTACAAAGTATGGTAGAATATTTGTAAACTTTTTATTCGCCGAATTACACTGTAGTAACCATATATGTAATACTTCTATATTGCTAGTACACTGTGATCGCAATGTGTTTTCGATTTGAAGTGAAAGAATGAAGCGCCATATCAATACAGGGACGGTTCAGGGAACTAAACAAACAGGCAAACGTTTTACGGTCTCATGTTTCCTTTAAGCCGCATATATATCCGAGCCCTAACCGCGAAAATAACACAAGCGATTTTTTTTTTTTAATTCAATGCACAATTTAATGCAAAAAAAGAGCATCTTCGTCTTTTCATTGCCCATTTCTCATTTCGCGTTCGATTCTAAAATAAAGGCAAACGGTGAGAAAATTTTGTGTCCGTTTCTTAAAATGTCACACTTTTGTAAAGCAGAAAACGTACATTATCTGCCTTTTTAAGCTTTGTTATGGGAAATGGTTATCCCGAAAATCAGATGGTGGCTTAAAACTAGGGATGAAACGATACAAGTAAATACAAGTACATACTCGATACTTTTCATTCGATACCAAGTAATTTTGGCATCAATAATTTTGAATACATATGAGTCGCCCTGTGCGTTTTGGCAACTTAACTGCCAGCGAAAACCGCGACATAATGCAAAATGTCGCAAGTCGACATAATGCATCCAATTGCTTCGCCAAAGTCGAGCGTTTGCAACGTTTACACGGCCAATTGTTCGAGTGGAAGTGTGAAGTGGATAAATGTTCAGTACAGACGTTTTAACGCGATGCAAAAGTCACTGAGTAACTCTATTATTCTTCGCGTTGATAACATTAGCGGGCAATAATAAAGGTAGGGGCAAATAGCTATGTTATGAAGGAAAGAAAAAGAGTTGATTCAAAATATAAAATAACGCTTAGAAAACACTAAAATATTAAATGTATCCCAAGCCCAGAAAATTTAAACGCTATCTTCGAATCTAATCTGTAGAAAATATATATATATTTATTAGAGTGGTTCAAGAAAACACTCTTTTTGGAAATTTATAAACGCTAAATCAAAATATTGTTGTTTGTTGTTTGTGAGAAAAAAATACACGTATTTTTTTATTTTGAAAAGAAACAAATTTTTTTGGAGGTCGCGCTAATCAGTTTTTTATGTAAACGCTGATTGGGTATTTTTTTTATTTTCGTGACATGTTATAGGGCAGCTAAAAGTATTGTTTTTAAATGTAATTACTCCGGTATTATTGGGGAATATTCCATTAATTACATACCTGTCTCGGACAGTTAGAATGGGCATAGTCCCCGAAAATATGCTTTCGAAAAGAGACTGCTAAAATTAAAACGTTGATACTGAACGTTTTAAGCATTGTCATGTGTTCAAACTCATTACCAGGGGGTTTCTGGAATCGCTGATTACGCATATGATGTCAGTTTTTCAAAATTCAAAATGGCGGATGCAATATGGCGACCAATAAAAAAATGATTTGGATCCGCCATTTTGAATTTTAAAATCTGCTGATGTCAGATTCGTGACAATGCGTAAAACTTTCAGTCTCAACGTTTTAATTTTAGTAATTTTTTAAGAATTTGATAGCAAAATTGGATCCGCCATTTTCCGCCCCAAAAATTCCCGAGCTCCGAGTTTGGAACCAATCCAGCAATTTTTTTTTTCAAATTGATCACCATTTTGGATCCGCTGTTTTGAATTTTGAAAAACTGATATCATATGCGTAATCAGCGATCCCAAAAATCCCTGGTAACGAGTTTGAACCCATTGCAATGCTTAAAACGTAAACAATATTCTGACTTTTACACTCATATTCACGAGAAAATTTGCTGCTCAACTTTTATAAAAGCAACATTTCGGGGAATTAGGTAAATAATCCCAGCCAGTAAAATATCCGGAAACCTGATGTTTCATCCGTTTTCCGATTCCTTTTTCAGACGTTTTTCAGATCAATTCTCCCATTAAAGTGTTCATCCGAAACGTATGTGCAGAAAACTATCGAAAATAGTTCTAAAACGGATGCGCTTTCGGCTGTTTTCCTGAAATTTGTCAGATTCAATTTTTCCTTGAAAACGATTTCATTATGAACTTCACAGAAACTTTTTCATAATCACAGGAAACCAAACAAAAAACAATTTTAAGATTCAGCAATTATTTCAATTTGAATAAATAATTTTAATGGGTTGCTTCTGACGGAATTCGAACCTGGGACCTCCTGAAAGCTAACAAATAGTAGCACACTTCTCTGCATACTCAGCTACTGGCGAATACGTATAAATGTTTTCAAATGCTCAGTTTGAACAAATATTTTAAAATTATTGTTTTGAAATAAGATGATGACATTTTTCGGACACGAAAAATTAACACATATGGAAATCGTTTTCTGAACGTGTCCGGATACGAAAAATGTACGAAAACTGCACTTTCGGCAAAAAGTACGTTTCTCTGCTGGCTGGGATTGTATTTCAATAAAATTGTGGTAGATTTTTTAAATGTGTGGTAGTTGTGGTTGAAGTGAAAAATTACCGGAAATGAGGTAGATCTACCACAATTGTGGTAAAGTGGCAGCACTAATGTGTACTTAAGCATGCGATCATGTGTAAATGGTTGTTACAGATACATATGTATGAGTGTGGGCCGAAAATCCGCTTTTTTACAATTTTTATTGGTAATAGCAAAAATATGGTTCATTATGCTCTATGTATACACATTAGAAGTTTGCTCAAATGGCAATAAAGCTTACCGTTCTGTATTATTAGCAACACTCTGAGCTTCGACTTTTTGAAACTCGAAAGTCACTCGCTGTCCTTTTGGAACTTTGATCTTCCATCTGCAGGAGACATAAATTGGGACCCGATCAAGCATGTTCAATGACAATACACCAGCATCGTTTTCAACCTCGCGGAAACAAAGACCATATAAACGCTGGAATCTTAACTTAAATCCCCGATACAAATTGCTTTCTTGGAAAGTTATAAAGCGCAGCGTTACTGCATTTGTATCAATTTCTAATACTGGCATTGTTGTGAAATTTCCGTATAAAACCGTTATTATTTCAGGATTATCGCTTATCGTGACAACTTCTATACGATCTGACCGATTCAAATTATTATTTTTGTATGGCAAATCAATGTCACTGAAATTTAACCGCATTCGTGATCTGTAGGGCATTTTTATAGTATAATCGCAAACGGCTGGCTTTGGATAGGACCCAAGCGCCGGGTAACCATGTGATGTAATGTCCCCAGCTACATCTGTATAGGTACCGCCACAGCTGGAAATAGATACATTCAAAAGAAAGCCACTCCGAGGCTCGCTTATATCGGTTAAATAATGAAAACGAAGAATATTTCCGGTAGATCGAATTACATTGGGCTTTGTGCAGAAATGTCCCAAACTTCGTGACAACTCAGTCGAGCCATCAAAAATTTCTATGAATTCTTTGTCACAAAACCGAGTATTCATACTGAAATGGTCCAAAAATTCAGCTTGCAACGTTTCGCCCACAGGACCTATTATAATCCAATTGCACTCTGTGTGTGGATTGGGTACGTTGGGATAATTAGGCGAGCTAATGTTAGCTGATCTTAGATAATGTGTTAGTTGTAATTGGGTATCACAATCACCGACTTGTTGATAAGTCAGATTGAAGTCAAAATCTTTCTCAAAGGCATTGGTCCAGTTTAGATTATATTTAATGGTTAAGCGGCTAGTTGAAGATTCTAAGCTTTTAACGTTACGACCTGCTTGGTTGCATATGCGCCCAGGCGATAATATTCGCGCATTGTCATCGAATCCGTCGTAAACTACCGCATATTGTCGGCAAGTTTGAGATGTGGGCACAAAATTTGTTCCGAAATCAAAAGTAAGGGCGATCCTTTTACCAGTAGGGACTTCAATATGCCATATACAATAGGAGTTCGAGCTCCGGGAGCGCATTACATTTTTCGCCAATATATGTCCTGTAAGCCCGGTCATGTTAGAACCGCAAACAGTCTTTGCCAACGAAGTGAATCCCGTGCGATTAACACTGGAATCCGTATGTAGTACAAGTTTTAAATAAGGCGTGCCTTCAACAACTTTAACAGGACTAATAGACATGTCTTTGCTATCAGAAATATCCAATTCCTTATGCCAATCTCTTAAATTATGAGATGTTAGGATACGCAAATAATCTGATTCCCCGTAAGCCTCAAGTTTAACCTCATATAAACTCAGCAAAATATGCTCGGTAGCATCTTCTGGTTTTATGATCCATGTACAGTCCAAGTCATTAGCATAGCCATTTGGATACCCAGGCGAAGAAATATTAAGGCGGTTGTTATAATTTAAGACAAAAGTCTTAGCGCAATCACTTCTGGACAGATTGGTTTGTGTGACACTGTTATTGACAGTTTTCCAATCGATTTTGAAAGGCTCTAGCTCACTATTACAACTGACTAAATACAAAACGTTGCTACTGGATGTATATTGCCAAGGCGATAATTGGATAGGTATTTCCAAAGCCGTGTCATCAAAACCATCATACAGCTGTTAATAAAATAAAAACTAGTAGTGTATTATAAAGTTCTTTGAACAAATATGTAAATATTCTTACCTTCAAGCCGCCGTTATACTCTTTAAAGTTGATGCAAATAAAATTCCCCCTGCTCTGTAGAATTCTCCAGGTATAAGCCTCGTCGTTACGAGCGGAAATTAAAGGTGGCGATTC